TGTACAGGAACGTGTAGCACTTGTTGATTCCAGTTTTCATCCGGTGTTGTCATTCTCTGATGGTATGTTTATTTGTAAATATAATATAAATTGTTTAAATTCTTGTTCATTCAATATAAAGTATCTATATGTTGATAAGAACGTAATATGTGTATATAATCTAGAATAGATCTGTTCAATAAGTCTGATTTAGAGGCTTGTTTTGTCCTATATCTCAAAATTGAACTTCTTCCATAGTTCAACTTTTTTTCTTTTTACATTGGAGAAAAAAAAATAAATCGTACAAAGAAATTCAGTTCTGGAGTATGGAAAAAAAACAAGCCTTAGGAAAGTTCATGCGTTGTACACATTTGCAATTTATTAGAGTCTCTTTCACCAATTTTTGATTAAGTTAACTAATGATTAACTCACAGTAGCACCAATAGTTGTCTCAAAAGAGGAAAACAGAGGAGAAAATGCGATGCATTAACTACCCGTTGACACTTCAAATTAACTGTCAATTAGCTTAAGAAATTGAAAAAGACTTTTATGATAGTATTCAGAAATATTCTAGTGTAACTGATTTTTGATATAGGTTTGGTATAGGAAATCATTATTCCTTATTTCTTCTATTGTATCTACACCCTTAATCTTCTCTGTAGTTTTGAATTTTTTAATAAATTTTAATAAAAGTGCAAATTTGTTGAACAATAACGAAAATTTCTTTGACTATTACATCCTTTGTTTATTGTAGAAATTGTACATGGAACACATTTAGAAGCTATTATGAAATCAGTGGAGTGGCAGCAGAAAATGTTGAGAGGCAATTTGCGAGTTACCCGAGTGAAAGATAAAGATAGCAACGAACGAAGAAATAAGAAACTTCCTAATAGAACGAAATATACCGCGCGATTAAAGAAATCATCCTCTACTATTCTTACAGCACGTACGTATTACAAGGATGTTATTTTGCACAATCTATGTTCTTATTTATTAAAAGAGTGAGTCACTCTCGTTATTTTTTTCTCTGGTGTGAAATGACGTATACCTCTTTTAACAGGGATTAAGAGAAAAATGTTGAAAAATGAAAAGAGAAATAGACTTAGTCACGAGAGAAGCGTGCCTGGATTGAAGAAAAAAGTATCAAAGTTGCCGACTGAGGATGACGACGACGTTAGCGCACTTTCAAGTTCCAGCAAACACTCATCTCCAGTGCCTTCTCCATTGCAACATGTTACTGCCTCGACGGAGAAAAACGTTGTTAAAGAGAAAAGTTCCAATTCACATGGGTAAGCGCTGTTTGATGCATCGTTTATGCATCGATTACTCATCCATTAACGAGATCACTATATCGATTCCGCATACGAAGTTTTCCATAATATGGAATGCGAGTACCTATTTGAGAATATAAAATGGAGGATACTTATATTTCATATTCATGAAATCACCAGTTGCTATCGCTCTTATCAATTCAAAACAAAATACTAAAATATTTCACGAACTGTCCATGACTCATTTGTAATATATATTTTTTTTCAGGCGTTTGCGACAAAACTCGTACGACATCGATAATATAGTCATCCCTTATAGTGTCGCTGCTTCAACTAGACCTGAAAAATTACAATATAAGGAGATACTAACACCAAAGTAAGATATATATTTATATAATTCACAGTTGTTTCAATTTCTAAAAAAACAATTTCAACAAAACAAATTTAATTGACGTCATTATTATTTCATTAAAACATTTCTCTATTTTTTTTTTATCATTAAAGATGGAGATTGTGTGAGGAATCCGCGAAAATGGATGTAAAGAATGGTGTGATGCACAGGCCTGATGAGGACAGTGACGTAAGTAGATAATGAGATAATCGCTTATACGCGATAAAAAGCAACGCGGTAAAAAAATGAAGCAACTTATTATTTCCTCTTTTGTAACTCAATGATCATATGATTGACAGTTTGAAGATTTGTCGGACGAAACAATCGCCCTGAGGCATGAACGTAGTGAACGCGAAGAATACAAACGTAGGACATACATGCCAAACCAAACACGTATTCGTCATAATCGTCGTATCGATAGCAGAGCAGACAGCGGTGCGAACACGCCAGGTATGTTGCTCTGCGTTTATCATGAATTTTGATCATTATTAAGAGCTGTTCATTCAATTCATTTCAATTATATTATCTTTTTTCTTCAAGATATTTTTTTAATTAGTTGTCTTCGGCACAACTATTTAATAAAAAAATCGATGAAATTGTAGCTTTATAGGAAAAAAAAATTCTCTTTTAGATCCTATGTCGCCGCACGCGAGCAGTGACTTTGGTGGAAACGTGACGTCTCCAATCACGTCTCCACCTGCCACTCCGTCTCAGGTGCAGGACACAGAGTCATCGGGTTTAGATTCGCACCGATCGTCTGCTTTACAAAATTCTTTGCGACGTCGCACTATGCCCTCTTTGAGACTTGGGAAAGATGATACCACAGTCGCATTTACCGAAGATGATAACGAGGTAAGTACACGCGGTAATGATATCTCGTATCGTTTAAATAAATATCACGTGATATTGTAATGTTCCTGAAATTGTTTGATACAGATATTGCCGTATGAGCCAAGAGTATTCCCATTATCTGAAGAAGCTTATGACAAAATGTTGGAAGTGATGCCGGACGGACATTGGCAAGCTTCGTCGACGTCTTTATGTTCCCGCGAGGAAGATAAGGGCGATGATGTACGTACGTTGTACTTGTACTAATATCTCTTGCATCGAGTATCTAAGTGAGAAAATTTAATTATATAAAATGTATGTGGGTGCTAGTACTGACTATTAATATACACTTTGAGCCAACTTTCATGGCTCCTCTCGAGGCTATTTCCGGTAAGCAGTACCACTTGACGCTTCATACTTGTGTAACGTAATTCATTTTATTTTTCATCTCACATACACATAGACACACGCAATTAGCAAATGTTTAATGATGAAAAAATATCGCGTTAAATTAATGCGATCGTTACTTTCTATACGTTATAGAATTTTACACAACTCTAGTTTGCTCCTTGGTTCACGCAGCTGCCATATGAGAGCTTGCAACCTTAAATAGAATTTTTTCGCAAAGCGATCAATTGGGCCAATAGATGATTGCCGACGATGACAGTCGTGCTTAACTATTTGTATTTCTACGTTTCTAGGAAGCTGAAATGGATTCTCCCGAATCGGATTCGACCGAATCAGCTTGTTGCGATATAGACGGTGAGGATCCCAATGATCCCGAGTGGACAGTAGCTGACGATAGAGACACTGAAAAGGAAAGAATACGTCCGACGGCTAAAAGATAGGATATAAAACTCTTAATAAGTACAGTATGTCTACGTCGTTACTATATATATATATATATATATACACACACATACATATATATATACATATATATATGCAGAAGCTACCTGTCAATTGTTATATATACCTATCGGTCATGTAACATTGCACCTTAAGTTAATTATGAACCTGTAAAGTGTATTATAAATATAAATTTTATAACTTCATTCTCTCTGCTTAAATTAATGAAAAAAACCTTAATTAATTATTATTATTTTTTTTAAGTATTGCTATTTTGGCCAAAGCATTAGAATTTTAACGTCATATTACGTTTAGGATATGCATTATTAATTTTTTGCTCTGTTACACAAATAGTAGATAGTATTAATTCTCTGAAAGAAGTGGAATCTCATGACAAAAATTGAGCGGTTTTGTACAAAAAACTATATTTATGTTTGCGATCGAAGCTCTTCACTTTAAATAAAAGTGCCAATCGAATTGTTCTGTAGCACTGTACCTTCCAATACATACATGCTTTTTCTATTTTGTGAAAAAGAATTATCACAGTCTGCGTGACATACTCTACAAGAAATGTTAATATTACAAATAATGTACGTTACAGTTTTACTTATTATATCAAAACTTGTATTTAAATCCCTGTACATTGTCCGTAACGTAACTTTTGCACCTAATTTCGCAAACGTAATTTATGTAACAGTCAAAATCAGTTTCTTTAAGCATAGATTTTTTTTTTAGAATTAAGATAATCCTGTTTTAATTTTCATATATGACCGAGTCGTGTCTTAAGATATTACTATTACATTATACACACAGGTAAGGATAACGTTATAAAAAATAAAATTATAACAGAGAAATTGTAAATTTATGTATCATAAAAGATATTCTTGACATAGCGTGTGAAATTTGATGTAGAAACTACTAATATTAAAAATGTGTTATTAGTTAAATTCTGATGCTCTGTATTTTGACTGTTATGTTATCATTGGTATAATTTGTGAAGTATATATTCACTTGTTAATTTAAGCGTTCATATAAATAAAGTCTTGTGTCACTGTGATTTCGCAATTTTCTAATAGTCTGTGATACTACATGTATTTTCTTTCGTATTAAAAGTTTTATAACCAGGCAAAATGTCTACGAATTCTTAAAAGTCGCATGCGTTTCAATTTTGTATATCACTTTTACGAGATGCAAATAAAAATAGGTGACAACAGAAATTGTTTTTTCTTTTACAACATGCAAATTCTCATGCAAACATTTCATAATTATTACTTATCTATCTTCAGCATTTCTCGATTGTAACAATGATTAACATCACAAAACAAATGTTGACAGTTTAATCCAATTCTATATCTTTTTAAGTTTCACTTTTCTTTCGACTTGCATTAGCTTAACCGATAAATAATTATAAAGAAGATACACGTTTCAACACAATTGTATACGCATAAGACGCAACCGAAGAACATCTATTTTTAAATGTAGAATTATCAAAATATAAAATTGTTTTTATTTCCAAATTTTTTTATAATAAATTTTAAAATGTAATATAATAAATATACAAAAATATATATTAACAGCAGTGATAATCTGTCAGTGAAAAAAATATCATATATAATTAGATTATTTATTTTTGTATCTAATTGTATCTTGTATAAATCGTGAATTTATTCAAATATATGCATTCATTCAGTTCCAAAACAAATAAATTCAGTATCTAAAGTTTCTATATCTACTATAACTGCAATATGTGTAGAGGAAAATTTTGGAATACAAATCAGCCTAACCATCTGATTTTCTTCACCTACAAGTATTAAATGCATTTTAATTAATATTGTAAATATGAAGAAATATTAATTTTTTAATGTAGTATTTATCTCTTTTATAATATTAAATTACCTTTCCATAGTTTCGTTTCAAATTTATCTGTATTACCCACAAAGTATATATCCGGACAATAATTTATGATAAATGGATCTTTTGCAGAGTAAGGATATACTGGTAACGTGTCTGGTGCAGTCGGGCACATGTGTTTCCAAAGCAGCGTTTTTTCCAACCAATGTAAAGGAGAAATATTTGTCTCACCGGTTGCTTTTATAATATCTTCAATAGGCTGTCCACTACTGCCCATTATTATACGTTCAGCGATTTTGCCGATCCACGGATTAGTCGTACTTTTAAAGCTTTGAAATCTGAAAAATACCTTATTATTTCTATTAGAACTGTATTTGTACTTGGATTTAGGAAAGTCTTATAAATCCATAAAAATTTCTAAATTAATTATATATTGATTTATTGTAATGCTGCCAAAATCTTTTTATAAATAAATTGCAAAAGCAACTAAAATCAAATATATTTCTTTGCTATAAAAAAATAGACAAAAATTTTCAAGTAATTAAAAAATTATAATCTTGATTGAGAATGTATATCTAGACTGTAATAGATATATATATATTTGTATAATACCTAGATGTTAATGGTAGTATGCATGGATGAAGTGGTCTCTGTGGCAACATTGCGTTGGTGGGATCATGTTGACCTGGCATTACAATAATGCAACAACATTTTGCTATTTCGTAGAAAAACGAATCTGCAAGTGTCGTTGCTCTAGCAACTTCCTTCGTTATAGCGGCGTCTTGTGCCTTTCCTTCGGCATGTCCCATTAAAGTATTTGTTTTAGTGACAGTTTTGACCGAATTACCTATGTAGAATTTAGTAATACTAAAGCGTGAAAATGAATACGATTATTAAAGATATTAAAGATCCGATGTACCAGCAATAATAACTCGAACAATGTCAGTGGCATCTTCTTGCGCCGCTGCTTCTCCCGCCATCCCACATATCCATTCGGTTAAAAGATTTAACGATAAATTCGTTGAAGTATTTGCCAAATCAAGTCCAGATACGAATACCAGCTTTCCTTTGGACTTTGGCTGTGTAGATAAACTTCTAGGTACGCAACCAGGAAAACACCATTCCTTGATCTGAATAAAATATCATATATATGTATATGTATGTATGTGTTTTAATTTTAATCCACTTACATACCTCAAAGTTGCCATTCTTGTCTTTATGGCCTAAAATGGCACATACAACACCTGTGACATAATTCTTTAAATCTGCATCTTCGATCACTAATTTGATGCGCAGCATCTCATCTTCCAAAAAAAGTTGATCTTTTTCTGAGCAGTAGTTCGATTTTGGTTCAGACAATGTGAGTTGATGATCTTCGCTTAATTCATGTAATATCGATGGCTTACACTTTTGATGTTTATAGAGTGTACCAATTATCACGCATTCTTGTCTTTCAAAATCTTCCAATTCTGCTAACTTTACTATTTGAACATCTCCTGAAAAAAATATAGATGATAAAATTTTTATTTACTTGATCTTATATTGAAAATCACAAAATATTTGTGTATAAAAATCTTAACATCAACAATACATAAAGCTCACCCCATTTTGCAACAATTCGTGATATCAATGTCTCTCTCAATTCTGCCAATCTCACTGCATATATGCTACAGAATTGCCTGGAGAAATCAATCGATTTACTATCAAAATCACTGGACAAGTCTTCATATTGTACATCCTGTCTTTTAAATTCTTGTGAATTTTCATTTACCAGTTTTGAAGGCAGATTTTTAATGGATTCATCAGTTGTGTGCACCATTATTAATAAATATATTCTACATATTTAATAAATAAAAGAATTTCACATACTGTATATATTAATAAAAATATCTTATATACAATAAAAGGAACATTTAATTATCTTGAACCTTATATTGTAGATCACTTTGATTCAACACAATAATGTGCTTCAATCTATGTATTTACATTATTGTACATTTGTATGATATATTAAAATTGTAAACAAATTCAATAACTACTAAAAGATATATTTGATCTTCTAATTTAATTACTCTTCAACAATTCCTATACAACAGAGACATCCCCAAGATATCCTTCAAAAAGCTATGTTGTATTGTTTTTTTTAAGAACGTATTTGCGACATTGATATCCGATGAAATAAAAATTTACACAAATATTGTTTGCAATACCATTTATAGTATAGAGAGATATATAAGCGAAACTGAATATTATAAATTATTTCCTACGATTACTCCACATTTCATCTACATATCTTATATTCAATTCTAACCTTTCTATCCGTATCTTTTTTTCGTATTTTCTGTAGATGTTAAAGGCTTATCTTTCTTGATATTTTTAATATTGATTCGTATTGTTTGATAGCACTTAGAAATACACGCGATATTTATTTAAATATAAGCAAATGATATCACACGCCATGTGAGGCGTCTTTCCCGCCTTTTTTGTCTTTGTAAAATGTATGTATTATTGAAGAGGCTACATAAACATAAGGGCGATATTTCACAATTCGATTTTAAATACAAGTCTAGCCTTAAGATTTCGTCCAACCAATGAAATATCTGCACATTTCTGAACCGTACGATTTTAATAGATTATATTTTATTAGATTGTAAATAATAGATTATATTTTAATAGATTGTACCATTTTTTGAATTGAACGATTTTAAATTTAAGAATTGAATTTTTTACTACCATTCTAAAGTTTGTTCCACTATGGTTTTATTTTTTCTTTATTCTTTGTAAATTGCACACGTGGAATCGATGGATGCGCGACAGCCAATGAATCTCGGTTTACTTCAGATTTGGCTTTCTTTTCTCATGTAGGATAGTCAATTGGTAGTCGTGTTGTTCTTGAAGTGTTATTAGCAGCTCCAACAATTTCAGTTTTCAACAATTTTTTTCTACAAGTTTCATATATTTTTTCTATATATATATTTTCGCGAGGTTCCTTTTCTCACAACTGTATTCTGGAGAATATAAAGATTATAATAATAAATAAATAAAAGGTAATATTGTGAAGGTAATTAATGATACTTGAAAATTACACGATGTTGAATAAATTCAAGAAAAGATAATTCGAATCGTTTAAGTTTTTTCGATGCGGCAGCACGTGCAGAGAAAAAACTCATATATAGTTATATTACCGTTTTCAAGTTAATGTTTACGTGAATGTAAATTTGTTTCTTTTACATAAATCAAAATTATGTAAAATCATCATCTCGAGAGATTTCTTAGTCACGTTGATATCTTTAAAACATCGTATTGTACATATTCCATGATTGGAACGAGAGATTTTCGAATGGCGTGTTTAGACTTTTTTTTTACGAAACGTAAATGTTCGATTTCAAAAGCGAAAGCATTCACAAAATATAATGGAAGAATAAGAAAAGGAATAAAGAAAGGATAATTAAAATAAATAACGATTCATTTCATATTTATATTAAATTCACTTTTATATATTCGAATATATAAAAATTTAACTATATATATATTATAAATTTCCAATCTTTATTATAAAGATTATAATATTATTGTTAAGGAGTATGTACGATGTTTATCTCAAAAGCATACAAATGATAATGACTGAATTTGCATGGTGTTAACCTGTTGATAAACACAGTTCTTTATATAGATCTCTATTATTGTCCTAGGAAGAATATATTGATTGATCTCAGTTTTATTAAGCATATAAAATTAGATTCAATGGTAAGTTTCTAATCCAATTTACTTTATTTGTTTAACAAATATATTTAATTTTCAAATTAATCTCTAAGAATATCTTTATAGGAGGACTTAGGCGATGATACACAGCAAGAAATATGTGATATGCTTAGTAAAAATGTAGATGTATATTTGGTAATTAGACGAAAAAAGATGACTTTATACCTCGATATGCCGGAAAGCACTCAAGTTATTAAGCTCAAGAAAATGATTGAAGGTAAGACGTGATATCTCAAAAATTAATAAGCAGAGATGTAATGGCAGAAACATTTTCTTGATGTATTAGTGCAATGAGTTACACGATTTTAATAAACACATTAATATTGAGATGAATATATACATTTTACAGCTATATTTAAAGTACAGCCACAGGATCAACGACTATTTATCATGTTTCTAAATAATGGTCATCTTGATGAATATAAGGAATTATCCGATTCTACTGCACAATTGTTTCAATATGGATTGATTTCATCAGCAGCAATGGTAACGAATCCTGCAATAATTGGATTAGCTATACGACAAGAGGATGGTTCGTTTGAAAGTCTCGAAGTAACACCATACTCTAACACAGAATGGCCAATGCCTCCAAATGATGATGATTTAGAAAAATGTGTTGCCTATAATGAAAAGTATGCGAAAATGCTGGAAGAATTTCTGGAAAAAGGTCCAAGTAAAAGAACATTGAAAACGAAATGATATAACATTGCACTAATCGACATGAATTATGTTTTGTGTCAGTTGAAATTTCACATAATGCAAAATGAGAAAAGTGTATTATAATAACCATAGTATACTATACTGTAATATAAATGTACTATAAAACACACACACACACACACACACACACACACAAAACTATAAACTCCTATTTTGTAATTTATAATGATAGTATCGATATTGCCAAGTAGCTTACATCGCTTATAAAGCAAGAAAAGTTAATGTTTTACATACAATAAATATACAACAATATTTTTGCATATTTATTAATAAATTATTAATAAATATACACAACAATATTTTAATTGTATATTTATTGTATGTTAAAAAATGTGTGTTTTTTTAAGCGTTGCTGTGCTATTTGAGTTGTTATATTATCATTGAGCAGTTTTTTTTAAATTGAATAGAGTGTAAAATTCTTTGTCTCCAAAAATATCAAACATATCTATTTCACTTTAAGTTCTAAAAGTAAACATTCAGCTACAAAAAAAAACAGCTTATATCCGAAAAGTCAGAATTTTGAATTCCGAAATGAACACATTCCGACACACCGAAATGAATTCATTTCTATTTATTTCAATCTCTTAGGAATCGAAATAGATGAATTTGTGTAGTCATTGCCGAATTCTAATTTTTCAAATATTGGAATATATAAATTTTGTTTTTTTAAACAATACAAAAAGATAAATATAAGCTAATGAGAGTCAGAAACGATAAATGGCGCAATTATTTAGTGAATAATTAATAATTAGATATTGGATTGTGTCTTCTTTTTTTTGTCTTGTTTTTTTTTTATAGTTGAATGGTTTATTTTTGAAACTTAAAGTGAAATAGAAATATGTTTGATATTTTTAGAAACAAAGAAAGTTTTACACTCTAACAAGGAATAAAAATCGACCTATATAAAAATTTATGCAACGATATATATAATAGTTTATTTGCATTGCTTGGACTTTTTGCATTCAGAATCTCTTTTTTCTTTCTAATATCTATATATCCAGTTTTACATGCAAAAGTTTTTGGAGATTTCGTAAACAAACAACGTAAACAGATTCAATATAACTACATCGACACTGTTATTAAGAATTATAGAGTAGGAGTCTGCAATATAATGCGATACCGATTAATTGTGTTCATATTAGATTACATTATAACTTTATATAAATACAATCACAAAACTTGTCAATATTAATTAAGAGTATTCATTATAACTGAAATCTGATGACAAATTCACATTACATACTTCATACTTAGAAAAGAAAAAATATTTACTTTTTAAGTTACTTTTTAAATCATGATACAAATAAATAACATGGCACTTTTTATAGGTTAATATTAGGTGTGGGAAAAAGTTCGTGGCGTTTTTCCCGTTAGATGACATTAAAAAAATGCCACGAACTTTTTCCCTAATACACCTAATATTTCATACAATATATTTTTATATTTACTTTTTTCTCATTAATATATTTTATTACTTCATGGAAATTTATTCCGTTTTTCCTTCTTTTTTCTTCTCACATTTTTTTCCTGAATGCCAAAATCTTTAGTAATAAATAATTAATGTTGTAATCACTTGTAACGCGATTAATAATAACATATAGATATCTAGATATTAATATTCAGAACTCTTTCGGCAACTAATCATGATTATCATGAATGACGTAAACGCTCGTATTCAAGGAGAACAATTAGAAAATTAAAATAATGTTATACTGACTGAATTATGACAGATCTTTATAAAAACTAATATAAATTTGATCAATAATCGATTAATATGACATCAAATTGACATTATTTTGACTCTCTTGTTCTCTTTGTAGTGGTTTACAAAATACAAATTGCGCTCTCAAACATGGCTTGATTTCTTAAGAAGCGAAAAACACTAGACCGAGTTTGAAAAACCCAATCTGCCATCTCATTGCCTCCACTCCTGTTCCTGCACTACGGGACCAACAGGACAAACCCCAATGGCCAATGAGCGAGGTTCTCAATAGATAAAGTTGATAATACGAGCTTTAGGAACCCCCGTAGATGCTTGCCACGCCGGTGCGTTTAGGGGAATTCGCGTGTGTTTGCAGTGGTTTGCAACGACATGTTTACGGCTCGTATCCGCGTAGGATAGTAATAATTTGTCCGCGGCGTTTTTTTTCTGCGCCAGACGAAAATCAGAGGGATTGATAACGAGTGAAGCGATAGCGAATGGGCGTGTGAGACGGGTCTTCTCTGTCGTGACGTGCCCAGCGTGTTTGTGATCTCTCCGTTGTTTTCCACTTTTGTCGAGATCGTTCTGTCGAGAGATGGACGCGAACAGCGAGCAGCCGGCCGCGATCGCGGCCACCGAGTCTACCTCCGCCAACGAACAGGAGCATAATGACGAGGCAATGGAGGAGACAGAGGAGTACAGCTATGAGGGCGATGATTACAGACACTTCATGCCGCGCGGCCGAGGCGGCTTTCGGTGCGTATCGCGACGCGTCGCGTATTCCAGCTCCGCGAGCGGCGATCTTTTCACGGTGTTGTCCGCGTCTTTTATACTTTCTCTCAGCCTTGCATGCTTTTCTCTTCCCGTTTTGTTTTCATCTAATCTATCTTGTCTGATTCAAGAGTTGACAGCATCCCGATTTCATCGTGTGTTTTCACTCTAGTCCTTGCAGATGATGTACAAGGAATGTCGGATTTTTTTTTATTTTTGGACCGACACCGGCTCGCGCGAAGGCCCCTCGCGTCTTCGCGCGGGATTTAATTAATTAATGCTATGATCTTTTTACAAGCAACTTTGTAGTACTTCTTCATAGAAGCGTTACTGCGCAAGTATGCGTGGTGCCTGACGCGAGCAGATCAGATCCGCAGCGTGTGGAGCGGAGCGTTTCTTTTTGTTTTTCTTAAGAGTCAAGTAAGATTCGGAAAGCTACTTCTGATCTTCCT